TTGCCCCTGCCCAAAAAAGAAAAAACTGAAAAAAAAAAAAAAAAAAAAAAACTGTCACTTTTGTTCACTTTGTGGTCTGTACTAATATATATATATATATATATATACACACCAATATAATTTTCTGATTAAATAAATGCATCCGTGGTGAACATAAGAGACTTCTTTTAAAAACACAATCTTACCAAAAATGTTTTTATTTTTAATCTTAACTTCCAAAAATGTAAATGTTGACTTTAAGCAAATAATTTAAAGGCTGTTCCTCACTCAATACAATCATATGGCTTCAGAGGATTCCAAGAATATAGTGCACATTGTATTAAACACTTTAGTGGTATTTTGCCATTTTTGGAGCTAGTCGGCTCTCATCAGCATTCGCTGTCAATATATGAAAAACTGAAAAATCTGCAAAATATCTATTGAGTTTCACGGAAGAAATAAAATCATAAGAGTTTCAAACAACATGAGTAAATGTACATTTTTATTTAAAAACTATAAAAGTATTTATGTTGTTGTCCCATGCCAAAAGTGCTTTGTTTTGAACCTACTGCCTATTGCACATAGGGAACATCTAGTAACCCTCACCCTAGTGGCGTGAGCAGATTTGAAGTGTCAAGGAAGCAAAACTAATGTGATTCTAAAACTGAAAGCTGTCATGAGCTGTTCTAAGCAGTTTGTTGTGGAACATGAACATTTAAGCAGATGAGACACAAAAATGCACAGTGACTGAAGCGTGTTACACAAACATGCACATCATGCCACTTTCAAGTAAACACGACTCATGCGGTTTACGAAAGAATGATATCTGGAAGTGGGTGGCTAGATGAGTGGAAGGAAGGTGGAAAGACTAAGGGATAGGGTGGAAAGATAAACCAGGTAGATTAAAAACGACCAGTGCTGGAAGGAGGAGTCCTGTTTTATGCTCTTTTCTTTTTCCTTGCTAATTCACTTGCTCACTTTCACTCAGGTATTCAAAATCCAGATCCAGCTAGAAAACAACATTCTCCCAATTGTCTGTATGCCCCACGTCTCCAACAAACACATAAGCGGCCACATAACGTCCGACATAGGAGGAGTCCTGTTTTATGCTCTTTTCTTTTTCCTTGCTAATTCACTTGCTCACTTTCACTCAGGTATTCAAAATCCAGATCCAGCTAGAAAACAACATTCTCCCAATTGTCTGTATGCCCCACTTCTCCAACAAACACATAAGCGGCCACATAACGTCCGACATATAGACACAGAATTTTGCAACTAGCATATATACCTTCTCTTCTGAGGCCTGCAGAGACTTCAGTGTCTGGTCAAGAGCTCTCAACTCCTCCTCCATCTGCTTGACATTGCTGTTAGTTTGAGTGGGGAGGGGAAGGTATGTCAGGTCAAAGGTCACACATGCCCAAACACAAATGAGAAGGGAGGGGACATATGAATTTAAGATGGAGTCAAGCCCATGAAATCACTCACACACACACACACACACACACAGTCTCTCTCACACACAGTGTCTCTCTCTCTCTCTCACACACACACACACAGTCTCTCTCACACACACACACACAGAAGGATTATAGTTATGATAGAGCATTCCTATTGTCATGCAAAATTAGCCATTTTCTCACACTGATAAAACAATGAATTTAAGTTTTAATAGGAATAAATGGACACTAAGAAAAAATATGAGCTAAAGAGGACAGTATGTGTGGTCTGTACTCAAAGTAAATGTGTTTGATTTAAATGTGCGTATATTTTGATTTTGAATTCGAAATTAACCTCTCAGCAAGCTCTGCTCTCTCCTCTGTGCGCTCCAACTCTCCCTCAACGATCACCAGCTTACGTGCCACCTGTAACACACATCAATACTTCCTGGTCATGACATTTTTTCCATTTTATTGAATGATCGGTACTTAAAA